CGGCAGAAATAAGCAGGGTGGTGGTACCTACCCGCGCGGACTCTCAAGAGGTCCTAACACCAGCAAAACCACCACCAGTATATTTAGTGTTAAAAGAAACTATTAGTTGTAAAAAAAACATATGTTTTTTTCTGTTTAGAATGTCTAGATGATGACAGAGCTTAGCTCGTTTTTTTTTATAACGCCATCTTGTTGTGTCTTTAAAGCGGTTAGTTCCCCTCAATTAAGAAAATATTATTATTCGCTAATAGATGTTGGGAAGAGTTGATTATTGAAAACACGAATAAAACATTTTCTGAAAATAAATCGTAGCTAGATCGATTTATCGCCCCCGAAATCCCCGGTATAATAAATTTTATGAAAATCGTTGGAGCCGTTTCCGAGATTCAGATTATATATATATATTGGAGTATTTCCACTTTCGGGTAGCGACATGGTAAGCGGGCGGTCTTCGTAAGTCAATAAAACCAGAAATGAACTCAGAGCGTATATTACGCAGGAGCGCTCCGTCCGACACGGCGACTCGCTTGCTTCTGAGCTCGAGAGACAACAACGGAGCGTTTTTATAGCAAGGTATCGTGGTGAGACGATGTTGTTTACGATTCTTATCTTGCACGTGTTGTTTTCGATGAATGCTTGCACGTGTTGTTTGTCGTCCCATCTTTATTAGTCATGAACTAATGGTTTATAAAAACACGCGCCGACACGGCCATCCTGCTCATGACGCGTCCCTGCGTCAAAATCATATACTTCACATAAATCATCTCACTTAACTATTACACTAAATTACTATCGAGTTCGACTTTTAGTGTCCTGGTCTCGACTCCTTTATGTCATTTGAGATACCAAGCCTCGACGCTGGCACTCAAATTTCAGGTCTCGAAACCCTAGAATACCAGAACAACCAAGCCTCGACGCCGGTGTTCAAACTTAGGCCTACACGCCATTACTAATATTGCAACAACCAAGCCTACACGCTGGTGTTCAAAGTCTGGCCTACATGGCATCAACAACCAAGCCCAAGCGCTGGTGTTCAGACTTCAGGCCTGGAAGCCTTAATAATCTAGAGCTGCCAAGCCTCGACGCTGGCAGATTGATTCCAGGCTCCAAGGCCCTACCTAAGATGTCAGAAGAGCTACGAAGCCTCGACGCTGGCACTCAGGTCTCGAAACCCTAGAATACCAGAACAACCAAGCTTCGACGCTGGTGTTCAGATTTCAGGCCTGGAAGCCTTAATAATCTAGAGCTACCAAGCCTCGACGCTGGCAGTTAGATTCCAGGCTCCAAGGCCCTAAGATGTCAGAAGAGCTACCAAGCCTCGACGCTGGCACTCAAATTTCAGGTCTAAACGAGCATTGCATATTACCTAAATTGAGATAAATTGGGATATACTTAACTTGGGTATCGACACCATACATTGCAACAACCAAGCCTCCACGCTGGTGTTCAAACTTAGGCACACAAAGAGAAGCCTCATTCCAAAAATTGTATCTCATTGATCTCTTCTAATGGAAATTCATACGCCGACACGGCAATCTCATTCTGTTTTCCATAGTTTGGATTACGTCATTAGGCCGTTTTTCGTCACGTGATTACGTCATTAGGCCGTTTTTCGTCGTGAGCTCGAGAGACAACAACGGAGCGTTTTTATAGCAACGTATCGTGGTGGGACGATGTTGTTTACGATTCTTATTTTGCACGTGTTGTTTGTCGTCCCATCTTTATTAGTCATGAACTAATGGTTTATAAAAATACGCGCCGACATATATATGTACACAAGAATTTCTCATTTAAAGGTAAAAGATATCGTATACTTATTAAGGGGGGTGTACTGAGCCTACAGCACGTCAGTATTGTCTGTATTATTCTAATAAAGGACGTGTTCACAGAGCACTATCACTTGTTTATTAATAAACAATACTCGTTCACCATATTTGGACGGCTACATAAACATAACCATATACAGCACACTACGCGATTTGTAGGACAATATGTCCGAATATAAATCTTAACTAATTAAAAAAAAACAGCCGCTTAGTAACCATTTTTGATGACCTATCAATACATGTTGGAAGGAAGACTCTTTGATCAAAACATTCATTTTGTAGGACAATTTTTTTTTTTTCAAGTTATTTAGTATATAATTATCGTCGAATATAACAAAAAAAAACCCCAGTTAGTAATAAATTTTTGAGAATCATCAAATCAACATATTTTATCCCTGTTACCTACCACAATCGAGAGTTTTCGTACATCAAAATGAGCTACTCACGGAAAATTAGCTTGATAGTAATCAAGTCCAAAAATAGACCATGGATCCTGATCTATTATAAAATATATTTATTTTTTGTTGTAAAACTAAGTGTGACGTTTTGTTATTTAATAAACTATTCTAAACAAAACTAATAGCTACATTTGAAACCATTAAACAATAAACAAATAGTAAATCCAGACACATTATTTTGTGTTTAATGATATGCCAAAGATTTCAATTCATTGTCATTGAACGGGAAATAATAACAAATAGACGTATATCTTACAATACTGAAAGCATAAACATAATTTTATTAATATTTTTCAATATTCATTCGATAACATATTATAAATAAATATTGTTGTTTAAACACTACATATGTGCTGCGAATGTATATTACTGTTACGAAGTTATTTAATTTTGAAGTATTCTGCATGGAATTGGTAAAAAAAACACGTGTGGCACTCAGGGACTGCCGCGGTAAAGCTATTGCATAGCATTTTTTATCAAACTTATGCAATTATAATTAGACAATAATAATTTGATATTAAAACAATAATAAAATAAGACCACGCTATATTTATAAACATTAACAAAAGCAAAACATTAACTGTCCCCTTCACATTCATAAATAAGCTAGACCACGCGAGAGAGAGATGGGCAGAAGTTTCATATTGCGCACGCAGTGTGACGTCACGCTACACAAGCGCAACGTGTGAGTGTGTTGAACGCGAACTACATGGTAGGCGGAGTGAGGAGTGTTAGGTTTTATTTTCGTTACGGAATTTCTCGATTCGATCACCGCGCTCAAAGCCCGCGATAAAAGCCATGCAATAGCTTAAAAGTATTCTAATGTGTTAATATAAATGAACTTAGTTAAAATAACAGATTAAACTACTATTTTTACATAATGTACGTCAATCATTCAAGTCACTGCTATCTATGTCAATCTGGTACAATAACTCATAACATTCAAATAGTAAAGGCACGTAGGCATTTGCTGAACTAGACAAAAGATAGACCGTGACAAATTTAAATCAAAATGGCATTAATCAAAATTTTAAAATAAAAATGTTATGTTTGTGGGCATTCAGAGGATGGGATGTACTAGTACATAATAGACAACATGCGTTGAGTTCCCCGTTTATTGACACACTGAATACCCACAAACATAACAAAAAAATGCTTAAGTAGGTTGTTCGTGTTAGGTTGCATCTAATACAGATCCATTTTAAAATCGAAAACGATTAACAATACCACTATAGTAGAATTATTTTGTCCGTGCAGTTTGGGTCATAAAACATAGCCCGGCTAGGGCGGTGAGCATGTTGCGCGGGCGCAACGCCATTATCGATAAAAACAAATGAGTCATCGAAGGCAGGTATACGGCGGCGGGGTAGTATACGAAGGGTGGTGAGACATTGTTATGTTAAGAGTAATTTGTACTTACCTGCAAATTATAGTACATTATGTCGAAGAGTTATGTGTTTTTATGAATTCGTTCTCTGAATTTCTTTAGTGACACAATGGCTACTCCTTTGTTTTGCTTTGCCGTTTTGATGGCAGAATTTATTCAATATAATATAACACTAACCCACAAAATGACAAAACTAAATACACTATCGATAACGCTTATCGACAACAATAATGCGCATCACTATGCCCGTCCATAAGGCTCGTGAGTGGAAGAGAGAGCGAAATACTCGCTTCACCGCACCGATTTTTTATGACCCAAACTGCACGGACAAAATAATTCTACTATAGATCATACACAAAGTATTTTTACAATTATCAAAAATGTTTTTTTTTTTGTTTACTTGAGTGGATGAGCTCAGTTGAGGTCACGGCCGACCTGGTGTCAAGTGATTACGTAAATTCGCCACCCACCTTGATACACGAGTTCTAAGTCTCGGTTTTATACTTGTAGTTCACAATTTAGTCACAAAATGAGACAAATGTCGAACACATTTACCGCGTATAACTCCGGTTGTTACGTGTGTCTGACGTCACCGGACTGCTCTACAGATCACAATGTGTCCTCGACACAGATAACATTATTATTTGCGTAATTACTGGTGGTAGGACGTATCGTGAGTCCGCACGGGTAGGTACCACCACCCTGCCTGTTTCTGCCGTGAAGCAGTAATGCATTTCGGTGTGAAGAGCGGGGCATTTGTACGGTACTGAAACCTTAGAAATCGTATCTCCAGTAACCACTCAACACCGGTTGGGCTATGAGCTCGTTCATCCATATAAGGAATAAAAAAACCAACGTAATTGTTGTTATTTTTTTTAAAAAAATACTCTCGTGATTTTAATACTATTTTCTTTTAGGCGACTTACGACATTAAATTATTTTCAATACTGTTAAAGGACCCCTTCTAGTTGAATTATTTGGGCTTTCTAAATACAGTGTATTTAGGCCGTTCCCGAAAACGACCAAACTTAAAACGCTGTTGAAATATTAAATACAACAAAATACATATCAAAATTAACATGTCTTAATATATAATATTAAAAAATTAAAACACCCAATGTAACAAAATATTCAAAACTGTTCCGCGAATTATGTTAATGAATAATATTTCGTCGCTGTCAAAGCAAAATCTGCTATGTGCAAAAACTCTATTTTGAATTAACGAGTAAAAATATTTTCGTATAAAATTTGATATGAAAGTGAATTTTTAAGAACTAAATCAAATAAAAGCTATAGATAAATATTAAAGCTAAATATAGACACATAACAGTTTTTTTATACAGTAGATAGGGCTGTGAACTATACGAAAAGGTCAAAAAGTGCACATGACATAGTAGATTTTGGTTTGACTACGACGTTTTTTCCGTTTAAGCTAACGTGAAGTATACCAACTGTTACGGATTCGGGAGCATTCTCCTTACCCTGTGTACGTACATACAACACAGCCGCACATGCGGTTATTACTTAAACTATGAAATATTTCAAACATAACTAAATTTAATATTAAATATTTTTATAACACTTATAGCTTTAATGTCAACTTTTATTAAAACTATGACTGGTATGATTGTCTAGGAAAGTAGGTATTTTACCTTCTTTAACCACCCTCAATGCTTGCAAAACCCTAGCCGTATCCAGTTCTTTCTCAGAAGCTCGCTCGTTATCCAAACAGATTTCGGACATTCTAGAGTTGAATTGCTCTATGACTTTAACTCTATAATCTATGATCGAGGCAACGGGATTCGCCGTCAGCCATAGATACTCTAAGCAAGGTAATTTACATATATGCTGGACCTCTTCAACATCCGTTATAACATTACAGCCTAAATTTAAACTCTCTAAAGAATAGAGTCTGGAAAACCCACGTAGCGATTCAACCTTATTCTGTGATAGTTCTATTTTTACTATGTTACCTATTTTAGCGTGCCACTTCTCACAGAGCGAGAACGAGTTCATGGACAAATCTAATATCCTTAGGTCGTGAAGGCTTGATATGTCACAGAGCTCTTTGAGTTTGTTTGATGAGAGACTCAGGTGTTGAAGTCTTGGGACCAATTTGATAGCCCAATCGACATTTTCAATGTTGTTGTTACCGAAGTTTATCATCGCGAGTTTCTTCCATTTCTGTGGACAAAGCAAAAACAATAGAAACTTTAACGTGATTTTTTACACAACAACCAAATCGGAAATATCCTCAAACTATAGGTCTATATTAAATATTGAAATCACAAACCTAGTCGCGAGAATTAGCATTTACAACAACCTGCTATCTATTGACAATTTTAAATGTGTGGCTTGGTATGAAAATTAGTCTGCTTGCTGCTTGAAGGTTACATGATATTCGTATTATTGGCGATTTATCAGCAATGTGTACATTGTGCCATTAGATAAAATTTATTCCTATTCATGTGCTCTTGATACATACACAATGAATAAGCCGCATGAGTCATCAATACACTATGTTGTGTTGTAACATAGATTGCTCTGCAGTCTAAAATACTAACAACAGCTTTGTAAAGAGTTGGACTACTGTTTATTGAATAAATGGTATTTAGAATGCAGCCGTATTCTATAAAATCGGTAAATAACACAAATTCGGAACGGCACTTATTATATCTAATGGTAGGCAACAAATTGGCTCGCCCCTGGGATTGCTGATGTCCATGGGTGATGGTAACCACTCACCATAGGGTGGACCTTATGCTTGTCTGTCTACAAGGGCAATAAAAAAAAGATGTAATAGATAAATAAAAAATTACAAAACTTCAGTGGCAATGAAAACTTTAAAATTAAATAAGTCTGAAACTGTAAAATAAAAATAATGAACATGTAGAAATTATGTCTTCTTAAGAATAAATAAAATAAAGAAAAATATTTAAGTTATCATTTAAGTCGGTAACTAGAATTTTATAGTTTGTTCTTCTTGCAATTTCAATTTGTGGATAATTAAATAATTGCACAGCAAGTACTACTGTAGATTCTGTTCTTACTAAAAAATTGTGAATGGTTAATGGATCGAACCCACAGATAGTGCAACAAGGCCCAGAGACAATATTAATACCTTCACCCACTCTGCGACAAAATCTCGATTATACTGTACGACTGCAATCCTTAAAACTAATAATAATAATTCTAGCATCAATGTTAACTCACCCGATTACCACTGCTATTGTAATGACTGAAGAATAATAATATGAAAACCCTCTTTAAAGAAACAAAAAAAAAGATGGCAATGAAATGACTAGATGTTTTTATGTTCACTTTATAATTTAAAATAATATTTAATAAAAAGATTAATAACTATTTTAACTGGTTACTTCTTATTTTACACAATGTATGCAAACAAAATACAACTAAAAATCATAAAACAATATCAATCAATAAGCTCTATTGCTATTAATTTTCACTCACCACTGTATCAGCAATACTCGATGGTTCTTTATGCAGGATGTCAACTAATAGAAATTCATTCAGAGATATTACTGTGGCCGTTAATACTGACAGGTTGACTAGGGTGTCCCGTAGACTACCTGGGGAATTAAGTGTAGCATTGAGAACATTTAATCTACTGACATGGAGTCTCAAGGCGGTTCTGTTCTGTCCTGTGCCTTCAGCTCTGGTACAAGAACCTCAAAATTTACATTAATTTTATGTGGTAGTTTCTCTTTTATTTAGATAACTAAATATGTTAATAATAAAACGGTTTTTAATATTTTTTTTATTTGCAACTATACAAGAAAAAGGTAATAAAAAAATTATAGTTTCTAAATGTTATTATCTATTAACTTTCCATTGAAATGCCTTCTTTTCTGGCGAAATTTGAAGGATTCGTATAGACCTTGTCAAGCAAAAGAGCCAAATATTTAACATATATTTTTATAGCATCATGTTAAAAAATGTTTACTCTAACATAACCGTCTCTTACAAGCCAAGATAAAAACTAATGGTTCATGGTTGGACTAAATATTTTGCGAAAGGGCTGCAGCTGAAGAGTAAAAGAAATCAATGCAGCTCACAAATCGTGTGATGCTGACCACCAATATAGACTTGTGGAAGTCCACAATATGCTGTCACACCAGTAATTACACAAAATTATGAATTATTAATAAGTACTACTTGTTGAAGATTCAGTTCATTGAAAATTGATACTTGTCTATCTAGGATAGCGATCCATATTTTACTAATTAATGTGTACAATATACATCAAAGTTTAAACAGAGATCTATTTCATTTGTATTTATCATTAAGTACTCACCAACACTCTGTATGCATCTCATGGGAACTCCTAGTATCCTTAAGTTAATCAAGGACTTGAAGGGAATGAAATCAAATTGCAACTCATTTAGTATTATGTTGCTTGTGCCATATTTTTCATAGCTTCCTTCAACGTCCAATGAGCGAAGTTGTGAACAGAAGTCTAAGACATGGCTGAAATCATATGTTTGATCTTGTTTCTCTGTTGGAGGACACGCCATTTTTAGTCTTTCACTAATCGCATGCAACTGGAAGTTTTGCAAAACGTTTTACTATCAACTTAAGTATGGGAGTAATTAGACAATGAACTTTAAATGTTTGTATGCTCCGTACATTACTGTCAGTTTTACAACTTTGAGAAGTATTTTTTTAAGTAGAGTGCCATAATATATTTGACTGTGCAAATATTCCTAGATAATGAATTAGAGCTACTGTCTCCTCACATTTGATTTTCCAAGCAATGGGTTATAAATTTTTGGAATGCTTAGTTTGTGGTGAATATATGGATGATTAACGTACCTCAAGAGGCGTGAACTTATAAGATTTTGCATTCTCCAACAAATTATCACCTTCCAAATACAAAGTCTTCGCTAAGTCGGTTAATAAAAAGAAAATATCGTATTTATGAAAATCTAAAAAGTGCGCGAATTCATACGGCATGGATAATTTTAAATAGTTTAGCACTTCCTTCAGATACACATTCAATGCTTCGCGTCTTTGTTCCACAAACTTAGGAGTCTTATTTCGTATAACTTTTTTAGGCGGAAGTAATTCCTTTCCAACACCATGGTCTGATACGAGTTTATCGTGAAGCTCCACAAAATCGTTGTATCGATGCATTACATGCCAATTAACGGAACCCACTTTGACTGTAATTTTGTAATACGTAACATTGTCTTTTATTGTAGCCTCGTCAACGCCTACTGAACTATTTTCGTGATATTTTAAAAATGAAGACATTTTAGCTGGATCATTTATTATATTACAGGTTATTAATACTTAATCACAGTCTGTATCACTAGTATTTTCATTGTATATTTTTTAGGTGGCAAATGCGATTGCACTTCGCTACCGCGTAGCCATCATTTCTTTTTTTGGTACAATTTTTCCTTATTAGGAAAGGCAAGGGGATGTAAGCCCATACAGCCTTGTCTGTTCTATATAATTTCTGAAATAAAATTTCAAAAAAGCTGAAGCCAGGTCTTATATGATTTATATTATATCCTGAAATAAAAATTTCATTAAGGCCGAAGCCAAGTCTTAATAAATATATTTTCCAATCCTTGTAAAATGGCAAATTCGAGTTTTTCATCATCGATTACACACTTATTATATTTTTTTATGGAATTTTATGACCTGGTAACTAAGACTTTTAAGTCATGTCTTATTTTAATTTATATTCTTATTTTTATGAAAAAGGATAATATGGAGTGAAATGAAAGGAAAATGATTAATTTGAGACATTAATCGACTGGGATGAAATTAAATGAAATGAGATGGTATGATATGATATTTAAAATAAATCCAATTAAGTTTAAACAACTACTTACATTGTGAAGTTCTAAAGTAAGCAAATGTTGAATGAAATATCGTGAGTAAACATTTATGTTTGGTAAGCACAGTAATAAAAGATCGGGATTTTTAGATTTTAAAAACAACCACCAACGGAAACTCCAAATGCTACAGTACAAAAATACTGGAAACTGATTCTGGACTTGAAGAAAAATTAAGAACCTACAAGCACTTTTTGGAAAATTAATGTGCATTTGGTGCCACTTGCCAAAACAACTAGGAAACATATATCTCCTTCAGCAGTTTCTATGCTGCCTTCCGAGTATCTTCTCGATATTGGGATACACATTGTCGTCACACTTATCAATTTTTCTTAATTATCTTTTTTCTTTTTCTTTTTTTCGGACAGTGTGCCGATCCTCATGCATGCACTTTTGGAGTCTAAATGGGCGTGGGGTATGAGGATCTTGATAGTCCGCAGATTTTGGGACAGCCCGCGGGCGCAATGATGTTTTCAAAGCCCATTCATCAAATTCATTCATCTAAATTAAATGCACTTTCACACGAGACGTCTGATCTCCGCCCGCGGTTGGAACTCAGGTAGAGTAGAATGTTCTCGCAGTCAACATTAAGACCATACTCACAGAACCACACCGAGAACGTGCGACCGATGGGTCGTGCTGATTCGGGATAAACCGCTGAATCAGAACCAAGCTGCCGGGCCAGTACGCGATCTACTGCGGACTGAGTTGTCTCGGTTGTTGAGCTTAAATCCATTGCTAAATTATTATTTTACTTCTATTACTCTGCTATTCGGTTATTTTATAAACTCGTCGGCTTAACCCTTATGTTAGTAACCGGGTACCCGGGTACCCACCGCGGTGTATTTGTATGAATAGCTCAAAGAAAATTCAATATATCATTTTAAGCTCTCGAATCGTCGTTTTTTAACTCAAAAGAAAGTTAGTTGGTTTTTAAATAAGCTTAAACTTCAGCCATCGCCCGATTTGCAACCGGGTACCCGGGTACCCACAGTAGAAAGTATAGAAAATAAATTGAAAATGGTTTTTATTAATAGATGCAACTAAATTTTATTAAAAAATAAAGAAATATTACATTTTTTTATAATTAATGACATTAAATCTAACATTTAACACACTGTATAAGATGGATTGAGTGCTCGTCACATACTGGCCGGTGACAATTTGCACAGCTCTTACGAGTCTTTCTCCGTCTTCTTATTGGTAAGGCATTGCACACATGACAAGATCCTGTCACTTTTTTTCTTTCAGTTTTATCTTTTGGAACCCCTGGACCAGGAGTTATCTCGGTTGTTTCTGTTAGTGGATGACCTAAAATACTTTCAACAGCAGTCTTTGTGGAGAAGTGACGCATTACTTGCAGATTTGCCGTGCGGTGTTCAATCATCGGTAATGACAGTTCTTCACTTAGCTTCCGCATAAATTGACGACGTTCTGTCGTTTTTTTGGTAATCATTTTATTATTTTCGTAATAAATTATATAATATATGATGCAAGTGAAGAAATGTCTAGCATGTTGAAGAACAATGCCATTGGCCATCTCGAAGATCGTCGTTGACTTCCTCCGGACCTGTACCTCCGGACCATTTAGTCCATTGTGTAAAGTTTGTTGTAAAATAATTAAATTTGTTAATGTTAAGGCAATTTTCGGATTGCCAAATAGCAACACTGTTGGTGGGAGCAATTACAGTAGTGGGGACATGACATAATAAAAAAGGCGGTAGTCTGAAAAAACGAGACAGAAAGCAGTGTATTCTGTAGTGAGCAGATATCTAAAGATTGTACAAGTGGAGTTACAAATAAAGCAATACAGAATTAAGTGAACTACTGCAATCTGTGTTTTATTTCCTGACTGTTGGAAGCGGAGTTCTACAATTGTGTCAACGCCAGCTTTATATTTATTATAAAAATTTATAATTTCTGTTTTTTTTGGTCATCACCAACTGATGCATCTGAATACATTGCAGATAACAGAATGACAGCTTTATTTTTTTAGGAACATAAGAACATAGGGTAACCTTTTCGTGAAATCCAAAAACTGTCGAATACTGCTCTCGTGTCTTATTTGCTCTCATAACGCTAGGAATGTAAGGTTTTTTTTTTACCGTGCCAACAAGGCTAAGATTCCACGATAACAATTGTTTAGCAATGTGAAGAGTAGTACAGAAGTTATCCATGCAGATGTTTCTACCACTACCTCGGTACATAACTGCCAATTCTTTCACTACTCTTTCACCCGGATTTTTTTCCCGAGTGCCATCTGTTTTACCAGTGTACATAATCCCCTGCAAAGGACACGCGTTTTCTGCATCACAAATCCACCAGATCTTTATACCATACTTAGCTGGTTTCGATGATATATATTGAGTGAATCCAGTAAGGCCACGGTACGGACAGAGCTGTTCATCAATTGTCAAGTTTGTGGTTGGTTTGTACATCTGAGCTAAATTTGAATTTAACACAATAAACAAAAATTTTTATATTTAGAACTGTGAGTACCCGGGTACCCACCCGGTTGCTAAAAGACGTGGGTAATAAAGTTGGTTACTAACATAAGGGTTAAGCCGGTGCTCAAAATTTGTGATCGGTGGACATTTCTAATCCACAAAGTTGTAAATAAAAATAAAAAATAAAAAAAAAACATTTCTAATCGCAACCAATGTTAAAGTAAAATGAGATATATTATGAGCTATGCTAAGCTATGCTACCAATTTTTAAATCAATTACTTGAAGTGATTTTTTACATCAATAAAAATTGAGCTGGCTGTCCACCTAGTGTTAAATAATTAGCGGAACCAATAGACATCACTAAGTGAAAGCCATAAGTGACGAACATAACTAATTGTGAGTGGTTACCCTCGCCCATGGACTTCAGCAACGCCAAAATTGTTGATTTTGTTTTACTGTCTCTCTATCCCAGGCAGTGAGTTTGTTAGATCTGAAACACTGTCATTGTCAAGACAATAGGTTTGTCACCTTTTAGCATAGATAATCCACTTATGTCTTTCTGTAATCTGGAAATTTTTATTTCAGGATTTATTATAAAAATCATATAAGACCTGGCTTCGGTTTTTTTGAAAATTTATTTCAGGAATTATATAGAACAGACAAGGGGGTATGGGCTTCGATCCCTTTGCCTTTCCTTATAAGGAAAAATTGTACCAAAAAAAAACTATGGTCGTAAAAGTCTAGAAACCAAGACAACGTAAAAATTAAAAAAAATCAGAATGAAAATAAATACATAAATACGTTTAGTAGTCCCGCAAGCCGCGCGAGCCAAAATCAAACAGAAGAAGAAGAAATACGTTTAGTAAATTACCTATCCGATGCTATTTCTATTTGGTTTATATAAAATTTAACAATTCCCTTTTACTTCTATTTTCATGTTTTCAAATACATAATGTTCTTTCACTTCTGAATTTACGAAAGCAGTACACGTAAAAATGCTCAGCAGATTCTCCGACGTGCTGCAAACTGCTGCCGATGTCGTGAGTTTAAATACTATTAAATTATCTTGACAAATATCAGTACAAACAAATTTATATGTATCCTATGTAACGAGCATGAGGTATTTCTATGGATACCATTTTATTCAAATTTATCATCTAAGGTCTATAATGTTTCAATTCGACCAAAACAAAAACAAACAACTGAGCTTTTATTAACGTTTCATGTTGGTGGGGCGCTCATTCAGGATTTCCAATTGTATTATGTTAAAAATAATAATATAATATTAATAACGGAACAAATCACGCACGGCCTCAATTTAGGATTCCCTGAGCTATGGGTACCAGAGACTATTAAATATAGTTATATGTTTATTATGTTTAAATATAATATATATAATAAACACCCACATAAATAGCATAAAAAACTTTTCATCACACAATGTTTGTCCGATGTGGGAGTCAAAGCCACAATCCTTGGCACAACAGTTAGAAACACTAACTACTGCACCATCGAGTCAGTCAACCGAGGGTTACAGGCACCTGAGATATAAAAACAACAATCGGACAAGTAAAGTTAGCCTATCAGGTAGAAGTCTTTTTTACATTCCAATAAACTCTGTAAACTTCCAGTAAACTCTGAACTAATGCTCCTGTAAGAAAGGTTTTAATTTCTACAGCTATCTTCCTTCTTAAACTGGAGTGCTTCATAATGATAAAACTGGTACAGAATTATGGTACAGTGACTTGGCTGTGCCCCTGGCATTGTTGATGTTTATGAGTAGCGGTAACTACTTACTATCAGGTGGGCTGTACAGCCATATCGTTTGTACAAACAAAGCTAATAAATAAATAAATAATCTAGCACCAGCCTTGGTTGCTATCTAAGAGAAAGCACGTCATAAAATCATGATAGGTTACTATTTAGTAAATGTATCTATATCAAGGCTTGAAAGGCAAACGTGACTAAGCGACAATGCATGAACTTTACAGTATAGCAATGTAAAGTTGAAATACCTGAAAAAAAATCTATTTTAACGAATCTAGCTGTAGGATTGAAATGATTTTAATAGACCTAGAAATAATTTTGTTTTGCGCATCGAATATTGTTATTTCCTATCATTTAGGTACAAAGCAGTTATTGTCGCTTAGTCACGTTTGCCTTTCAAGCGCCAATATAATATCTGTAGTAGAAATATAATAGGTTAGCTCAAACTATTTACTTGGAAACTTATAAAACCGAATGGCAATAGTACTGAGAAGCTAAAGTAGTAATATGTATGTATTTGTTGCAGTTGGCACCTCCAGCAACGAGACTCGAAGACTTTGAGTACCATTGGAAGATGATACTTAACTTCTATGAGCGGTTTGATGATAATTGTAAAATTCACATTGAAGATACTAAGATACCTCATCATCTGCATCAGATGCTACAGGTTTCTAAATTTTTTATTGAGATGCTTATTGGTTTATTACTAAATGAAAGACATGTAAGTCTTTACGAAAGCTACTTATCAGATCTCATGTTTAGATTATACTATAGGCACCATTATCAATCCACCATTATATTACTTTCATGAATATAGTCCTTTTTTTTAACAGTAGATCTTTAAATATCTGATGTGCTGGTCTGCTGATTTTGTGGGTCTTATAAAAGTGCACATTTACTATATTCACTTTCACATTAACTTAGTGTAATAGGCTTTCTCATTCATGAATGCAAAATTAATTTGACACCAAAATACCATCACCTACTTATTTAATTATCTGTGAAAATCTAAAGTAACTTTTTGAACGATGTTTTAATTCAAGAAAATTTTATAATGTAATTGAAAAACTTACTCAACAAAAGATACGTGATCCAAAAAAAAAAAACTAAAGACCTGGTTTTAACTTTGGGAAATAATTGTAATTCATCTGTTCAAATTTGTCTTAGATTTGATTACAGATTTTACCCTTCAAAATATATCCTTGCTGTCAAATCAAAATCTGCTATGTGCAAAAACTCTATATTGAATTAACAAGTAAAAACATTTTTGTATAAAATTTTATATGAAGGTGAATTTTTAAGAACTAAGTATATGAAATGAAAGCTATAGATAAATATTAAAGCTATAGACACATAACATTTTTTTTTATATGGTAGATAGGGCTGTGAACTATACGAAAAGATCAAAACGTAATAATCTCAAAAGGGCACATAGCAGATTTTGGTTTGACAATGATGATATACAAAAATTTGTACGTTATTTTAATTTATTTTGTTAGTATACCAATTTTTTTTCGCAGCTCATTGTTGATGAAGAAAAAGAACAACAAGGTGGCACGGTCGGTCCATGCCTGGAAGCCATAGTTCAGCGGTCCATATGCCTGTTAGATGCATTGACTGCGCTCGCGGCGGCCGACCGACCGCCCGGCGCGAGGTCATTGGCCCTAACAGCTGCTACGGCACTGCTGAGGAGAACTAAACAGCCTTGCGTCAATAGCGTTCATATTTATCGTCCCTTACAGGTAGATTGTTTGATTATATAGCTCAAAATACATTTTGGGCCAGAGAATTAAATACGGCTGTATCTCAATTTTTTTTATTTGTTAGAAATCAGTGATACACAGAATGGTTCTCCGAGCGGAGAAAAAATTAACTTCTAATGTAATAAGTACTAGTTCTTTGGACCTTTTAAAAATCAGTAGGGAATTTTGGATTTAAATATTTTATTTATAATACGGGATGCTATTAAAAAAAACCCAATAATCTTTTAAATGAAATAAAATTATCAGTTTTGAACATGAGTGCAATTATTAAATGTTGTAATTTCAGTTTGTTTTTGTTATCAGTTATGTAAAGATAATGTTTTCAATGGCTAAAATACAAACCCAATTAATATAAATATCAAAAGCAGACAGTGTTTAATTGAATACGCTGTGGTTTTATTTTGATAAGAATTAATTTTTAATATATTAGGTTTTAAAAGGAAGACAGATATTCAATCTAGATATCCATAAACAATCTTATTTGGTTGATATAAAGCTAGTGAGCCTTAGAAAAATAGGCCAAAATTCTAATTTTTCTTTTACAGTTCTGTAGGCTTGTAGCAGATGCTATGCATACGCCCTGTCTAAACGCGCCAAAGGCTTATCTGATGTAAGTGGTAACCAGAGAACCATAGACAACAACGTGAATTCTGACACCCACTCGAGATATAAAATTAACACCCCAATTACACTGTATATCTCTTACCCATCAAACTGAAATTCTTCATTGATTGATGGCAAATTGGCGGCTCAGAGTGTAGTCGCTCTCAATGTTTCACGATAGCGAAAGTTGCTTGTAGCATAGCAAGACTTAACAGCGGTTATTGGGTATTAAGAAAATATTTTACTAAATTATTAGTAATATATCTTAGACAAATCTTATATAAGAGACTAGCCGTACTCGCCCGCTGGGCTGGGCATTTAAAATTAACATTATTATTTACTGTCATTATTATTAGGGAGTCCAAAACTCATATAAATATTAGCCTATCTATTAAGTACATGTATTTTCTACATGGATACCAAGTTTCAAGTCAATCGGATGCATGGTTCAGTAGTTATAACGGAACATCCGTAAAAACAACTGTAAATTTATATATTAGTATAGATATAGATAGGTAAATATGTATATGTATATGATAGAGATTATATATGGATATATGTGTAAATTTTATATTATTATCATGATATAATATAGTGTACGTTGTTGTATGTGATTATATAAATATATACCGTGTATGTGTTTGTATATGTATGAAGTATTATGATCAGTTTGGTTATTTTCACATTAAGTTATGCACCTACCACAGGATTCTCTATACCACCCTTGGTAGACTGGTAAAGAATGCCTCAGGTATTAAGTCCGCCATTGTACTTCTGTGCATTAAGTTAAATAATTAAATAAATAAATTAACAATTAACTAAACATTGTTACCACGTCTACTGTCCACAGCGTATGCTAGTCCAGTGCAACGAAAGCCCGGCGTCGCCTACAGAGAAAGAAGAAGTCGAATTGCTGCTGACTCTGTGCGGTTTGGTCCGCAAGGAGCCAGGCCTTGCCAACATCTTCACGACACCGTTCGTGGAAGACAAAACCTCGTTACTAACTGTACCGGAGGACATTCAGAAACTGATACCACTGAAGAAAGTGCACACGCCAAGAAAGAATCCTTTGTTCGTGGATCTGACCCAGAATCAGCTACCGAACGTGTCCATAATCAGGACCTACGACAGGGACGATAGCAGTAACGGCGCCGAGTCCTTGGCAGATGACGTGTCCTGCAAGAGTCAGAAGACATTGTACGATGAAAATGACAAGTTTTTGTTAATAGATTTGCTGCTTTCGTATTTGGACAGCGCTGTAAGTAATTGTTTCTCTGGTCTCTATTATCTATGTACTAGCGACTCGCCCGCGCTTCGCTTGGGGCACTGTAATTTATTATAATTGCATTTATTTACTCCACAATACAAATACAAATAAAATTTCAATTAATATGATATAAAAATTCTAATTCTAAACAATATTACAATATATTATACTAACACAGTGGAGATAAAAAGGCCGCGGCTCAGCTTTGTGATAGCTGAAACTATCGCTGTTATTCTGTCGCTGCCTGTAATCTCAATCTATAAACTTAAATCTAATAATACCTAAATTTAAAAATTATATGGCATAATCTACAGAATCCCTGCCTCCGCACTTTGCTGTTTCCTTATAAATGTATTTGAACGGGTTTAATCCTTGTTATTAATCTTATTGAATTTTCTATCTTCATCTTTTATGATATCCCACACTCAGTTGTTTATAGTCATAACTATTCAAATATGTATCCAAATGATAAGTATAGTGTAAAAGACAAAGTTTGTATACTTTAATTACCAGATGCGATAAAGTATTTATTTTCATAATTATAAGGATCAATTTGTGACTAAAGTGTGCGTTTATAAATGATCAATTATTAACAATATTAACGTAACATTATTTAATTAAGTCAGTATCTGATTTCCTAATACAGGGAATCCTAGGAGCCAAATAACAGTTTGAAAAGTTATCTTCGATCGTTTGTCTATTAGGATAACCAAGTAGTACTGAGAGCCTGCGAGGGGATAATGATAGTGTCGTCGCTGCCGGAGGAGGACATCGCCAACCTGGTGACGAGCTGCAGCCCGGCCTGCGAGACCATCGTGGACAAGCTCGCGGCCAGGTACCGCCGCATCCCGCCCACCGTCGACCCCAACGACGTCGACCAGCTCAACATCACCTGGGCGTGAGTGCTTCGTCGTATATCTGTATATTAATACATGAAGCAAAAACTTTGTACCTTTTTTACGAAAAATGCGCGTACGGACAAATATGAAATTTCCCACACTTATAGAGAATAAAGAGAAAGAGTGCGGAATGCTAATATTGACGTGACAATGTCTTATAATTTGATGGAGCCGGCTGCACGCACGAAAAAACATGACTCATGCGGCGTCACCTCGCTCTGAGGCGTTCCATTAAAGGCTTGAAGTGCAAGCGAGAGCGCGCAACGAGCGACAAAGAGGCACAATCGGCCTCCGCGTTCGGCAGCGTTCGACATCTGTCTCTCTCCTACTTGAGTGAGCGATGCACCCGCGTGGACAGCTGCTATACAAAAAACTATGTACATTGTAAAAAAATATTGACATAATTGTATTTATGCGTGCAAATAAATGTAATTTGATCAATTCAATAGTGATTTCCATTTACCACAGGATCGTAATCGCGACCCACTGAGAAGATCCGGCGAAAAACTCTGTGGATTGTATCGTCTTCCAGCCCATTTCTGGCGCCAAGTCATCACGTGTTCCGGATTGAAGAATGTATCAACCGCTATGTAATAATATTGAGACTTGGACCTCATGTCTCAAAGAGGGTGGTAGCCATCGCACTCTGAAATCCATAGGCCACGGCTGTACAATCAGTTGGGCTTTGAGCTTGGTCACACAATCTACCAATAACTATACTGTATGTATTATTTCAACTAAATGGTACTTTACTGAAAAAACTATAGCCCTGAACCGCTTCAGATGATTAGACTACAAATAAATGCTTATTAAATAAATAACATTTGACTTTCAGATACGTAGCACAAGACTTCGGTGACAAGTCTTATTCCAAGTTCCACGGCTACAGAGAACTGACTACATTTTTCTCGTGGCTGGATTATTGCGATACACTCATGAAGGTAAATATACATATTTTTTTACATAAGTATTATTAATTAAAATAAATGTTCTATATAATGTGAAGAATATTTGGCAATTTGTAAACATTATTTTCTAATCAATTTAAGTAGTTTAATTTAATATCCACGGTTTTATTTCTGAAATGGTAATGTTTAAATAGTTTATTGTATATAAAAAAATAAAAAATTCTAACATTTAGAATAAAAATTTTAATGCGTGACGTCAAATGTCATCAAATATTAAATGTAATCGTTTTGTTCTATACTATGTAGGTTAGGGTTCAGTCATCTATACTAATATATAAATATACAGTGGTTTTCGGATGTTCCGTTATAACTACTGAACCATGCATCCGATTGACTTGAAACTTGGTATCCATGTAGATAATACATGTACTTAATGGATAGGCTAAAATATTTATACAAGTGTTGGACTCCCTACACCAGTTGCGGGGGCGTTAATGATGAGAATCTTTGTGGGGGTGAGAAATAATAATGTTAATTTTAAATTCCCAGCGAAGCGAGCGGGTACAGCTAGTATTATAAATATCTGTAAATATATTATTGCACGTGCAGATTATCATGCCAAGATCATTAGCAAGTGTATGAACAACTCTTCACGTAGTTTTGGCCCCAAATGACGTCACGCGTAATGAACATGCTTACATTATAATCGCATGGAATGTGTCCAGGAATGTCACCAGAGCATAGCGTCGCACCTGTCGAGGACGTTCCGACAGAACTTTCTGGAGGGCACGGCGGAGGCCGGGGTCACCGACCTGCGCCTCGCCGTGCTGGCCACCGCCGTGCTCAGCAAGTGTCTCAAGGTCGTCGACTCCACTGACCTCATTAACGGTACCGACCTCAATGTTACTTAAACTAACTTCGTACTGTAAATTGAAACCATAGTTATACCCCCGATTACCGAAATGGGCGGGGCGAGAATGCTTTACTGTTTTCATCCTAAGTACAAAGTATCAAACAAAGTTGGGAGAAGATATACAATACATTTATTATTTTTACTGGTGGTGGGACCTCTTGTGAGTCCGCGCGAGTGGGTACCGCCACCCCGCCTATTTCTGCCGTGAAGCAGTAATGCGTTTCGGTCCGAAGGGTGGGGCAGCCGTTGTAACTATACTGAGACCTTAGAACTAATATCTCAAGGTGGGTGGCGCTTTTACGTTGTAGATATCTATGAGCTCCAGTAACCACTTAACACCAGGTGGGCCGTGAACTCGTTCAACCATCATAAGCAATAATTTTTTTTATCTCAAATACATGCTAGTCGCGTATCATTTTCTATTAAACTAGACTTCTAACAAAAGCATTGGGTAAGTATTAATGCCTTCTAAATTTTTTGAAGTGAAAACTTCTTTAGCGTCGTGTTGATTCTAAAGTCGATGAAACGAAAAAGCGACAGTAAAAAGAGACAGACATATAATTTCATAAGATTTAACGACGGGAGAAAATGACCCATTTAAGGTTAAAAAAAATATTAACCTCTTCCCGAAATTTTACATTCGTCTCATTATCATCATCTTGAAGCCAAAATTTTTAAAAGTTTCACTGCTACCACGTGTGAATTGCACAGATTTTTTTTTGTCTCTTTTATACGCATAGAAGCGTGAATGAACTCACAGCCTATCTGGCTTTCTGTGGTTATAGGTATATTGGTAAGCCAATTCGCGCGTATTTAGAATAGCCCAATAACCTATCAGTAATTTGCATTGCTAAAGTCCATGGGCGATTGTAACCACTCACCATCAGGTGGGCCGTATGCTCGTCTGCCTACACGGGCAATAAAACAATTAGGTGGGAAAGAAAATGCATGTGTTATTGCGGATTCCGTAGTATCCTCTGAGTAGAGTAAATTCAGACGCCTTATGCACCATGAGTGACCAGCATCTACAGGATTCGCTGAACTAGTCACGTCGTCCGTTACAGAGTTCTCCAACTGGCTGGTGGGGGACGGCGAGGTGGCGGAGTGGCCTCTACTGCATACCCTCATCTCGAACTGCCTCTCGGACAATTACGATCTGGCATTAGAAACGTTAAGGTTCTTTGAGGTATGTCAGTATTTAAAGATCATTAAAAGCTTTGTAATCACCATAAATAATGAAATTTTTATTTTTTTAATACGCTCTTATTAGCTTCAGACGTATGTATGTTTGTAACGGAATCTTTGAACATGATTTTGTGACCCCCTTCGAAAAACGTCGGATTAACTCGAAATTTGGTATACTTATTAAGGACCGATGACAATTAAATATTGAAAAAATATATATTGAAAAATTGAAATTCAACTAAAAAATGAAAAATAAGTAATATGTAGTTTAAAAAAAAAATGCTTTAATAGAAAATTCAACTAAAAGATAGAAAATAAATTTTAATAAATTTGAATTCAAAATAGTGTAAAAAAAAAAGATTTTATTGTAAAAAACCGTGGGGTGCTTGGTATCAGTAGTTAAAAATATTTTATGAACAGATATGAGTAGAAGGGTTATTTTGATAATATCTTGAAAAGCACTATTTTTTAGCTGGATTTTCTATAAAAGCGTATTTTGTTAGTTTTTTTAAACTATTATTTATTTATATTACTTAGGTGGGTGAACGAGCTCACAGCTCACCTGGTATTAAGTGGTTACTGGAGCCCATAGACATCTACAACGTAAATGCGTCACCCACCTCGAGATATAAGTTCTAATGTCTCAGTATAGTTACAACGGCTACCCCATCCTTCAAACCGAAACGCATTACTTCTTCACGGCAGAAATAGGCAGGGCGGTGACCTACTGGCGGACTCACAAGAGGCCCTACCACCAGTAATCACAAGACTGATCATTTTTAGTATTGTAATGGATGGTCATTAGTAGATGTGTTTTGTAGAGTATAATAGAGAAGGGCACAGAGCACAGTATGGAGCGGCTGGTGCTGTCCCGGGTGGGGACGCGCGGGTACTGCCGGGAGCCGGGGGGCGGGGGGGCCGCGGCGGGGGGCGGGGTGCCGGCAGCGGGGGGCGACGACACCGACCGAGACCGACTCAACGACCTCCCACTATGGAGAGAGAGGGAAACGAACAGGTCAGACTGTTCTTATTACCTTCTTTACTTGAGACTGTTCTATGCGTGCCGAGTTTCTTAAATAATATCATTATTTTTATTAAGGGATTTTATGACCCAGTAACTAAGACTTTTGAGTCATGTCTTATTTTAATTGATATTTTTAATTTTATGAAAAACGCTAATATGGAGTGAAATGAAATGAAACGAAATAAAGATGATTAATTTAAGACATTAATCAACTGAGATGAAATTAAATTAAACAAGATGATATGGGATGAAATATAATCTGAGTAAAATGGTGGTCATTTTCAGTGGACTTTTTGGAGGATCATGACGTTTTTAGTTACGTCCAGCGGCTTTGTTTCACATTCCCACATTTGTGCACTCTCACAGATATTAAACAGTTATAATAAACCACCGTTATTACACATTTAAACCTGACGAAACACTAAATAGACGAAATAAAACAAATCGCAGAACTTCACTACTCGCGTTCCGCTAAAAAGTTTTTAAATAATATCATTGTACACAACAGGGAGGCAATGAAGCAGCTACAACACGAGGAACACGTGAGTGAGCAAATCAACGACATCCTCTCACACGAGGGGCTCGACCTCGGCGGACACGCGGGCGCCGCCGAAAACATACACACCATCGTCAACAGGTACACGCGAGACTTCTACTTTTATTGCTTAGATGGGTCGACGAGCTCACAGCCCACCTGGTGTTAAGTGGTTACTAAAGCCCATAGACATCTACAACGTAAATGCGCCATCCACCTTGAGGTATAAGTTCTAAGGTCTCAAGTACAGTTACAACGGCTGCCCCACCCTTCGAACCGAAACGCATTCGCGGCAGAAATAGGCAGGGTGGTGGTACCTACCCGCGCGGACTCGCAAGAGGTCTTACCACCAGTAGTAAACTCGCTCGGTGAATCTATAATCCCTCGAAATTACTAGAATAGGAAAAAAACAAGGTTCACGCGCTCAGTGCCCGTCCAGAGGACTTCATGGTGGTATTGTTGCAACATGAACAATATCGCGGATGATGTAAAGTAATTACCCGAAGCCCATAGATACTGCAAAGTCAATGACGCCGCCCACGTTGAGATATGATCACAATGTTTATCCCACCCCTGAATCGGAGCTCATGGCGACTTCGCGGTAGAAATGCGCAGGATGTTAGTATCTACCCATTCTTACCAATAAGCGCCTATTGGCAACCGCGGCGGTGTAGTGCTCACAGAGCGCTGCTGTCTGTTCTCCAAGGAATCCCTCAAGGGCTCACAGATACCCCGGAGAGATGACAGCGCAGAGCTTAAATATTATACATTAGTAGTATAGAATAGTATTAATAAATATAGTAGTTCAAATAGTATAAATAGGAAATAGCATAAATTCACTGATTTGTATGATGCGCAATCAGTTGCACTACCTAATTCGTTCTAGGTTTTTATTAATGTACAAGTCTTAACACAACTATTCTTGAAGACGAAATAATGTACTATGTCCACACGAACAGTAACGTACTATGTCTACACCAACAGTAACGTACTATGTCTACACCAACAGTAACGTACTATGTCCACACGAACAGTAACGTACTATGTCCACACAATAACGTACTATGTCCACACAATAACGTACTATGTCCACACGCACATTAACGTACTATGTCCACATGAACAGTAACGTACTATGTCCACATGAACAGTAACGTACTATGTCCACACGAACAGTAACGTACTATGTCCACACGAACAGTAACGTACTATGTCCACACGAACAGTAACGGACTATGTCCACACGAACAGTAACGGACTGTCCACATGAACAGTAACGTACTATGTCCACACGAACAGTAACGTACTATGTCCACACGAACAGTAACGTACTATGTCCACACGAACAGTAACGGACTATGTCCACACGAACAGTAACGGAATGTCCACATGAACAGTAACGTACTATGTCCACACGAACAGTAACGTACTATGTCCACACGAACAGTAACGGACTCTCCACATGAACATTAAATAACGTATTAAATCCACTAATTATAACACTGGCATAAAATTTATTATGTCAGATAGGTAGATAATACAGTACTATTACCTATTATCTCTCTTCGTTTCCATATCCATTAGCGGGAGCAGCTTTTTTAATTATGTGTAACTCAATAAGCTTCAAGTAACGTTGCTATTATCAACAAACTAATTATTACCTATTTTTTAACAAATGCTTGAAAAACATTTATAATTTTAGCCGACTTGAACATCTCAAAACGCGCATTGAAGAAATAATGGCAAACGAAACAGCTGACTTATATTCGGATAATTCACAAGATGTTGGTTCATAACAGTAACTTAAATAAGCTTTTTATTTATTTACTAAAGTGGCGTCTGGGTTAAAACTAGACTTAAAACTATGGAGATAATTATTAATATGTGAATGTGCTAACAGAAATTCCTAGAATATACAAGATGTGCCATTTGATATCTACGGCCTAATTATTTTCTTAAGCAGAAGATTTTGTGATTTTAATTGCAGTAATTTTTTAAGTAAAGTTTAGGGGGAAACATAAGTGATTATTTGTAGTTGATGTTCTATTGGTATAAATACGAAAATGTGTATCTAGTTAATACTTAAAAAAGACGGTCAAATTAGAATTTGAATAGTACTTATCAAATAAGACACTGGGAATGCCTATTGAGTGATAAAAATATTGCCATAAACTGCTAAATGTGATTTTTAAATGTCATGTCTGATAACTAAAGCAGTTTTTATTTATACTAATAAATATAGTTATCTCATTGAAAATATTAACCATCTTCTAATAGTCAGGCAATGAATACATGCACACTTGTGTATGTGCTCTGTAATTAAAATGCAAGGCAAAGCTGGGAAAAATAATCACTCTTAAAATAATTGAGATTTTTTTCAATGTTGGAATTTTCATCCATATTATAAATAGGTCTAAAGCTATTATTGAATAGTTTTATTTATACTGACCATTTCATATTTCTAGATTATTAAAATTTCATATGAAGGAAAATTAAAACGTGGGTTCCTGACACTATTAAAGTGACCAACAGAATAATTTGTGATTTATTCGATCTTTTATAATTTATGTTTAGAGAAATTTCTAGATTGTGTAAATTGTTTTTGATGTCACAAAAAAATGTTGACATGATTAAGAATGGTTTTAAAAGTACATATTAAATTGCTAATTTTTTTTATGGGGTGTAAAGTTATAGGTTTTAGTCTAGATAATATAATTGTACATTTTTATATAGTAAAAACAATAATAATTACTAATCTTAATACATTTTCGCCATGGCCTTTCATTTTGCCAACCCTGTGATCAGTAATTTACAAACGCCATCAGATCTGTGATTATTTATTTTTTATATATATTTTTAAAATACCTATAAATTATTGAATTACTAATCGATATGAATATATAAATGCTTTCTATGAAGAAACTAATTTGTAATTCATTTTAAACTGACGCATTTTATAATTTACAATTATTTGTAACAGAAGAGATAAGATATTGCCAAATCTATTCAGCTGTTTTCAAATGATGTCAATCAATGACCATAATTTAATATTAGTTCAAAAGTTTCTTACAAATGTCGTTGACAGAAGTTTCTCCTGTAATTTTGTTTATACAATACTGAGAATTCTATAGTATTGTCTGGGTTTGCAATGAAACAAAAAAGTGTGTGTGTATGTGCAAGTCACACACGGTAGAAGTGAAACTTATAAATAAGATAGAGATATACTGACTATCCCACTACACCGGAGCATAATATGTTCTATCTCATTCTCTCGCCGGCTGAATCCTATACATTTATGTGTTTGTGTCTCTATGGACTTATTTTTTCGTTTCATCGAGTTTGAAATCACAACGATTCTAAAGAAGTTTCACTTCAATACCTTAAATCTGTGCGGGTTTTCATGTCATCAATTAGTTTGTTCGACTTCTCTAGATCATCTTTATAGTTATAGACATTATCTTGTATATAAGTGTAGATGATGTAATTAAATAGTTTTGAAAGTACATGTAGTTGTTTCATTCGCTTGGTGTCCGTTGCAGTTACCTGCTGTTGCTCCCGCGCGCCCTCCTCTCCGACCCGGTGGGCTCCGACTACGAACATTACATACACGACGCCCATAGACACTATCAGGTAAACTGTCTTTTTTTTAACAAGCTTTTGCCCGCGATTTCGTCCGCGTGGAATAGTTCACAAATAATGCTTTATTTTAGAACAAATTTGGTTAACATAAAAAACGTTATAGTGAGCCAACCTTAACATATAGACATATGCTGTCCCGGACTTTTTTTTAGATCTTTTAAAGGGGAACAATTCTGCCATTCATTATTTTAGCGAAACATTAACCGTTTCTGCAACGCACGCAGCGGAAGCTCTCAAAAGGGAAAAAAACTGCGATTTTGAAACATTCTTTATTGGTGCTCCTGTTATTGATCTTAGCTTGATATTATATAGCCTATAGCCTGCCTCAATAAATGGACTATCTAACACTGAAAGAAATCGGACCAGTAGTTCCTGAGATTAGCGCGTTCAAAACAAACAAACAAACTCTTCAGTTTTATAATATTAGTATAGATTAAAATCGATCGGTCAGATCTGTGGTGAGCTCATAGACAAGAACTTCAAAATCTAGATGATCTTTATTTATTTATTTTTTATTGCTCCTGTAAGTAGACGAGCATACGGCCCACCCGATGGTGAGTGGTTATCGTCGCCCATGGACTTCAGTAATGCCAGGAGCAGAGCCAAACTGTTGCGACCGTTAAATATTAATTTTTCCAAATTTTGAACGAATATGTTGGTGGTACTCTTCTCTGTTAAGCTTACTCAATTTAGATCTGGACACAACGAAAAAAAAAAGAATTAATAAACAGAAATTCATAAAATCTTGTTCAATAATTACTCGATACGATATTATTTTAAACTCCGATGATCAAATAAGATGTCGACCGATCGATCGATGACTTGGTGTGGCCATCGTAGCCTGTAGAATCACAAACAATCAGAGATATGAAATTGAGGTCCCAAATTGCATTAATGGAAGAGTTGTCTTACTGTTGGACCAATTGGAGCACGTGATTTCGTCATACAGACTAGTTCTTGATGCACGTCTGGTAGGGTTTACACCACGCTGACGTGGACATGCGACGTCATACGAAATATCCCGTAATTCAACACAGAAATTTAAGTAAACTAAACTAATTGAATGGAGCACGTGGGAATTTAAAACCATATACGGTTCAAACGTTACTACGAGTCGAGAAATTTTTGGTGATTATTTTTGGTTCAGGCCAAAGGCTGGTTTGGTATTCAAATATATATTTTATAAATGTTACGGTCTTTTCAAATGTAAACACAATTTACTGGTAATATCAAAAGAAGGAAGTTATAAAAACCATATTAAAATGAGGAGACAAGACAATTAATTAAAATCTTTAATCTGTTTGTCAACCGATTTTCTTTTTGATTTATTGTGTAGCAGCAGCCTTTGAGGAGCTTTAGTGTTGTCAATAATAAAAAGTAATAATTTTTTTTTTTTTCGTACGTAATTTTAACCTAAATCTTGAAGTTTGTATAGTGATTATAGTAGATTTTAGATAACCTGGCGGACATTAGTATCTGCAATACGTAAATACAAGACTTGATTAGTTGATTAAAAGTATAGTTTACCGTACGTAGGGGACTCTCAGTTCGAGAATCACAATTCCAAAACACGGCTAATTACCCGTTTGTTTATTGAAATGAAACGTGTCCACTTAACGTGGGTTACTGGTGATGTTACTGGTGGTAGGACGTCTTATGAGTCCGTACGGGTAGGTTCCACCACCCTGCCTATTTCTGCCGTGAAGCAGTAATGCGTTTTGGTTTGAAGGGCGGGGCAGCCGTTGTAACTACTGAGACGTTAGAACTTATATCTCAAGGTGGGTAGCGCATTTACATTGTAGATGTCTATGGGCTCCAGTAACCACATCACACCAGGTAGGCTGTGAGCTCGTCCACCCACCTAAGCAATAAAAAAAAAACTTAACTTTTAGTATTGGTTGGACATAACCTCTACGTTCGATTGGCCAGTGGGCCTCACCGGAAATGACAACACGGCCAGCTCGACTCACAGCTACGACAGTCGACCGGAAGCCGACATACACATACACGACGCGTATTACAACAATAACAACAACAGCGAACAGAACTTAGACAAGCAACACAACACAAAGAAAGAAACGAAAAGATATGAAAATGATGAGTTCGACGAGGGGCCCTTCTTAAGGATGCTGTTTAAACTGCTCTCGAATATGCCCTACCAACCTTACCAAGTGAATTTGCATCTGACGTCGATTATCTCGAAGTTGGCACTCCTTCCGCATCCGTTCCTTCACGAGTACCTGCTCAACCCCACGTTGCCTGTCGCCAAGAGCACCCCGACGCTGTTCAAGACTATGCAAGAGCTAGCCAAAAAACTGACCACGGAGATCCCGAGGATAAAGCATTACAAGAAGGTGGTGGAGAGCACGAGGCTCCAGCTCATGAGCGAAGATCCCAGTTACGATGAGGTGTAAGTGTTTTTTGCGCAAATAACTAATGTTATATTTTGTCCCAACTTTGTACTTAAGTAACTACAAACGCAGTGTGGGGCGGCCACCTACCAGATGGACTGACGACCTGGAGAAAATTGCTGGGTCACGTTGGATGCAGGTGACAACGGACCGGCCGCACTGGACATTAGTTGTAGAGGCCTATGTTCAGCAGTGGACAGTAAACAGGCTGAGATGATGATGATGATTGTACTTAAGATGAAGACAGGAAAGCCTTCTCACTCCACCTGTCGGTGAGCGGCTGACAACTCGAAATACGCACGTTGGATTGAAGTCACAATAGCAGCGGTAAAACTCGGGTAGTAACAAAGAATCTTTCAATTTACAGTTCGAACTTAATTTAAGTAAAGTTATTTGATTTATCAATGAATTATCAGCATTAAAACCGAAATAAAATCAGTATTAATAATCGGGTAGATTAAAAAAAAACATACCTTGCTTTAAATAACTAAACTGGTCCGCTGGTAACTCAGTGGAATTGGGATACAGTGGTCCAGTGAGCCACTTGGTCTAGTCCCAACTTTGTTACAGAGTCATTTCGCGTCTTATGCAAGTACTGGTGGTAGGACCTCTTGTGAGTCCGCGTGGGTAGGTACCACCACCCTGCCTATTTCTGCCGTGAAGTAGTAATGCGTTTCGGTTTGAAGGGTGAGGCAGCCGTTGTAATGTAAAAACTGAGATCTTAGAACTCATGTCTCGAGGTGGGTGGCGGCGTTTACGTTGTAGGCGTATATGAGCTCCGGTAACCACTTAACACCAGGTGGGTGGTGAGCTCGTCCACCCATCTAAGCTATAAAAAAACATAGCACATAATTTTTTAGGTTGTGGATCCGTTTCTGTCGTGTTTGATAACGAATTCAATATGAGCTTGAATTAAAGTATCATTGTGATTCCAGCGGCGAGCACAACCAACTGGTGGAGAGTCTCATCGTGTTGGAAGAGTTCTGCAAGGAGCTCGCCGCCATCGCCTTCGTCAAGTATCAGCACTCCCTCCACGCTCACGGGTAGCCGGACGCCTCCGCCCCCGCCCCCAACGCCCCCCACCCCCCCAACGTCGCCACCAGCCCCCCAACCCCGCCCCTCAGCGACGCCCCCCGCGCTTTGTTTGTAGCAAGTCAGTTCCCATCGTACGAACATAATCCTTTTGATAAAAGGCTCGTTAGTTCCTCCTCGTGGTTCAAACTTCTCCAACCAAACCTCGTGGTTCTGAGAGAAAACTTAGAAGAAGCACACACAAATACTATAAATAAAACGTTCGAAAGTTATGAGGCTTATTTATATAAATTAATTATAATATGAAGCTGTTATTGTTGTGCATAAAAAAATCTAATTCAAAAGCGCGTTTACAAACATGCTATTAGGACTAATCATTTGTGGGTAGAATTGGGAAAAATATATCCAAATGTTATGTGAATGTTGTTGAAAATTATTAAAAAAATATATTACAAAGATATTAATTTCGCATTGACACAAAAGTTGCCAATGTCAGTCGGTCCATTGCTGCGCTGTTGTAAGATACTACTAGATAAGTTACCGACATTAAAATAAATGTCATACAAACTTTATTATGTTCTCTAGTCTATATAAAAAAAAATAGTGTGTTGCTACACTTAACTTCAAGTAAAACTCGTGAGGTCGATCCCGTTGGTTCGTCCGAAGCCGCAATGGATTGTAAAGTATGCGTTGTACATTGCGTCGCAGCGATCGCGGTGTACCTCCTAATGTAATATATTCCAAAGTGAAGTTAGCACAATGCGCTCGCAATATTTATTCTAGTCTAACGATATTTATTTCGCATATTATATTATGCTTTAACATTATGTTATCTACTGCGTCAAAACTATTTCGACTATATAATATCTATGACACATTAGCATATTTGAATGCGAATAAGGTTTATTTGAATCTAGGAGTCGAAGGAAAAATTCACCCATAAATAAATTTAACAATTAAAAAGTAAGAAATCTCTATATATAAAAATGAATTGCTGATCGTTAGTCTCGCTAAAACTCCAGAACGGCTAAACCGATTTGACTAATTTTGGTCTTGAATTATTTGTGGAAGTTCAGAGAAGGTTTAAAAGGTAGATAAATATAAAAATGCTCGGAAATAAATAAAAATAACAATTTTGTTTTTCCTTTGATGTGTCCCCCGTCGGACGGATTCCTTTTGTTTGTTTTAAGTTTATTTTATACAAAAGTTTAGGTCCTGTTATTTATCGATTAAGGCACTACGAAGTCTGCCGGGTCAGCTAGTTAAGAATAAAAACGATGATAAACTTAGAAAGCACTTTCAGGTTAAAGTTTAAAAAATGTGTCTTTTGACTTTTTCTTGAATTAGTGTTAATGTGGTTTTTGATTAAAATCCATTGAGTATCATTGGATGATACTAAAGATTGAATCGCTAAGATTATATGTAAGAAACTGTAAAACGTTTATCAACATGAAGTAGTGTCTGCTTGACGATCGAAATTCGACCATAACCACTGTTACATCAAGATTTAAATTTCATTTAATACGTTTTCTCTTTTTATTTTTGACATGTTGTTTGTGAATGAGGAGAAAACTGTTTTCAAATATATAATTCGACGCTCGAAAGGCAAACGTGACTAAGCGACAATGCGTGAACTTTACAGTAGACTAATTTAAAATTGAAATACCTGAAAAAAATTCTATTTTAACGAATCTAGCTGTAGGATTGAAATGATTTTAATAGACCTAGAAATATATTTTTTTTGCGCATCGAATATGGTTATTGCCTATCATTTATGTACAAAGCAGTTATTGTCGCTTAGTCACGTTTGCCTTTCAAGCGTCGATATGTATATTTCTATTCAAAGCATTCCTCAAAAATTGGCAAACAAATTAAAAAAAATCTCTTAATAAATCGACGAGATAATATCGAGGGCTGAAAGGCTATATGGTTTAAGCGTAATTTCGCTTAACACGCGACATTTATCTTTGTAATTAAAGCTCCGTTTTATTTGGTATAGCATCGATAGTCCGACGTTTTTAATTGAACTTCAATTTTAAGCTGAAGAAGTTTTTTTTTATTATGATATTATTATATTTTTTCCAAATTTTAAACCTTGTATGGCTCCCCTGTAAAGTTGCTAAAATATCGTTTAAACCAAATACCCTTTCAACCCTTGATATATTTATTAGCAATTTTTGTTTTTGTTGTCGTTTGTATGTCAAGATTTCCGGTACTACAGTAGAAATAGTGTTACTGCTAAATCTGGTTGCTGTAAGATGTGTTATTATTAGTACTGATGGAGTACTCAGTCACCCGAAACCAATCTTAAAATGGACAGGGTATGTTCGCACTACGTTATTTTTTTGTTATTATTTTATTAACGTTGTATACAGACGTGCATACGGCTCACCTAAGGTTAAGTGATCGCAGACATGGTGTCCCGCTGGTACTAATCGTTTCGATGTGTTTTCGCCATTTGATAATAGAAGGCGTTAACATAACAATACTATACAGTTGACTTGGACCTAATGTACTCAAGGTGGGTGTCGATTTTCATGTAACCACTAACCACTTAACACGAGCTGGGCCGTAAGCTAGTTCACTCGCGTTACCAAAAAATGTGAAGAATTCCCAATTTATTCATTCCTATAAGTTAGACAAAATGCAGAACTTTTAAATAATTAAATATATATCTGTTTTTGTTCGAATAGCTAATAGATTGGTTTTGTTAATAAAATGTGTATAGATAGATATAGAATAGATTTTTTAATTTGTCTTAATGAAATACATTTGCTTTTTGTTAGCACCAGTAAGAATTGTTTTCGAATTTCGTTATTTATTGTCAGTGTCAATAAAGTTATTGATATTACATGCTGGGTGTTTGATTTTCTTGTTGATTTTTTTTCTTTTATTTATTTTGAAAGGCCCGATGGCGCAGTAATTAGTCTCTGACTGCAGGATCGAGGGTTGCGGATTCGATTCGGATATAAACATTCGTGCGAAGAAGATCCAATCGTATTGTTTGCTAAATCAAAGTAAATCCAAATTATGTTTCACGAAAGTCCTCGACTGAACAAGGTGGTACGACACGTCACGGAGACTTAAGCTTTCCAATACTCAAGTCCAGCTTCGCGTGGAGTGTAGCTCCCACCACTGGGCCGGGTCTCCTAGCTACTTCCATTTGACTATACACATAAAAGTGAAGTGTGTATAGTTATATATTATAGCATAGCATTTAGTATATAACATAATTAATAGGTGTAATCTCGTATGTCTCCCTAATAAGGCGGACCACCCAGAAACATATACTTCTTCATAAATGTAAACTAGGATTAAGATTGTGGCGGGTAGCCATCATACAACGCAAGATAATTGACAGATGCCTGAATCTCGCTTACGACATTTTCAAGATAAAGCGCATATATAAAAGTTCCGAACAACAACATTAGGACCGTCGGTCTACCGAGCAATATCACCCGCTCGGTGGAAGATCTTCCTTTCGTCGTTCAGCCCCCAAAAGATGATTATTAAACATGGAATACACGCAAGAAGACGTTTTCCTTTAACACCTCCCAAAGTACAACATTACATGGCGACCCTGCCACCGCGCAGATTGACGTAAATCTACCTCACATCGTTTAGAACCTCTAGAGCCATGGTTATACCCCGAGCACTGCGAAATCTCCAAAAGAAATTGAAGATCGTTACCGTGATAAACAACGGTTGTATTAAAAACACACAAGTAAAATGCAATGGTGATTATATATTTATCTTCATAATTAAATAATAATATGCGTTAAATGTAATATTTTAAATGAGGCTATATATATATAACGATCGATATTTACATTACGGAAATTATTATTATTATTGGCTAATGAGTTTTCAGGAAGAAACACTATTCATTTACAGAAAAAAATATACGAATAAGTTCTATAGAACTGTAAGAACATTAGCGAAGTAACACGTACGGGATACAGTCTCGTATCTGATTTATGATTTTTTTCGTTTGTCTAAAATAAAAATGGCGGAATTGAACAAGAGAAGTCTGACTATTGACTTTCACTTGCACTAATCGGCGGCTGGCAAACTTGTGTATAAGGCCGTGTACGCAATGCGATATTTTACAGCGCGTTTTTTTTTTCTCGTAATTCTGTAACACATTCAACGAACTGGTGGTAAAAAAATGGTGCAGGAAAAAGTCTGACTATTGACTTCTACTTGTATCAATCGGCGGCTGCCAAACTTGTGTATAAGGCCGTGTACGCAATGCGATATTTTACAGCGCGTTTTTTTTTTCTCGTAATTCTGTAACACATTCAACGAACTGGTGGTAAAAAAATGGTGCAGGAAAAAGTCTGACTATTGACTTCTACTTGTATCAATAGGCGGCTGCCAAACTTGTGAATAAGGCTTTGTCCGCACTTGTGCGATATTTCACCGCGTGTTTTTTTTCTCTCGTAATTCTGTAACACATTCAACGCACTGGTGGTCAAAATAAAATGGTGCGGGAAAAAATCTGTGATTCATCCAAATTGAATGCGAAGCGGTGCAAGTTATTTCCGCGGGATTATTTTGTACCATATCGACGCTTGAAAGGCAAACGTGACTAAGCGACAATAACTGTTTTGTACATAAATGATAGGCAATAACCATATTCGATGCACAAAAAAATCTACTTTTAGGTCTATTAAAATCATTTCAATCCTACAGCTACTAGCTAGATTCTACTACAGCTAGATTCGTCAAAATAAATTTTGTTTTCAGGTATTTCAACTTTAAATTAGTCTACTGTAAAGTTCACACATTGTCGCTTAGTCACGTTTGCCTTTCAAGCGTCGATATGTATAAAGTAAGTATGGCTATGTTCGCGCTGCGGAATAAAATTCGCGCGTTTCGCTCAGTTTCATGGGTCTCAATGCCGTAAGTGGGTGAATGCAATGTTCATGAGACATCTTTTGATAAGTCTGATACGCCGCTTTATTATTAGATAAATTGAAATTTTAGTTCAGTTGCCTTTTTTTTATTTTTTATATATTGCTTAGATGGGTGGACGAGCTCACAGTCCACCTGCTGTTAAGTGGTTAGGGGTTAGGGGAGCCCATAGACATCTACAACGTAAATGCGCCACCCACCTTGAGATATAAGTTGTAAGGTCTCAAGTATAATTACAGCGGCTGCCCCACCCTTCAAACCGAAACGC